AAATAAATCAAATAAATCAAATAAATCAATTTAATCAAATGAAAGAAACAAAAGAAACAAATGGCAGCAATTGGGAAGACTCAGAAGAAACTGCTGCTTTCAACAAACTCAAACTGCTGCGCAAAGCCGCGCAGCTGAAAGCCCCCAGAGTGAAGGAAGAGAGGAACGACGAGCAGCAGCAGCAGCACCAGCAGCAGCTGCTGCAGCTGCAACAGCAGCAGCAGCAGCAGAAGCAGGATGCGGCAAAGCCTCCCAAGGGCGAGTGACTTCTTTTGTCTCTTCCCTGCTTTTGCTGCTGCTGCCACTTTTTGTTTCTTTTTGTCTTTTTGGCTTCTGCTCTGCTTCGGGTTCATTTTATTTCCTTGTGCTGCGCCAAGCCCTAAACCCTTAATTGGGGTTTGGTGCGGCCCAGCCTCCTCTAGCCTCTAACTCTAAACCCTAAACCCTATTTTTCTACACTCGCAGCCCTCCTAGTTCCCGCGGACCAACAAAGCAAACCCTAAACCCTAAACGCTCGAAATTAGGGTTCAGCGAATACGATACAAACCCCAAACCCCAGCAAGTTTGTCAGAGTTTAGGGTTTAGGGTTTGCGGGCCCCTCTTGGCCCCTAGCCTCTCTGTGCATTTGCTGCTGCTGAGATGCATCATAGCTGCTGCTGCTGTCCCTGCTGCTGCTGCTGCTGTTCCTGCTGCTGCTGCTGCTGCTGCTGCTGCTCTTCGTCCATGCAGTCGTCAATGAGCGTTTCCACCTCCGCTTCGTTTCTGGGGTCGACAAGGGGCCCGCAGCCTGACTCAGTCTGCTGTTGCTGGTGCTGCAGTTGCTGCTGCCGCAGCCGCTGCTGCTGCTGCGCCTCTTCCCGCAGCTGCTCGGCTAGGGCCTTTTTCCGCGCACTAATTTTCGGCCCTCTTGCCCTGCAGCAGACACACGAGCTGAGGTGTACGTACACGTGATCTCCACTGTGTACAACATTGTAAATAAACCCCGACACAATGTATGGACAGCAGCAGCAGCAGCAGCAGCAGCAGAAATCGCAGCAGGGGCAGCGCGCAGGGGTGCAGCAGTGCATACACTCTTGCGCAGCAGGGGCAGCAGCAGCAGCAGCAAATGCAGCAGCAACAGCAGCAGCATCCCCACTACCACCACTACCAGCAGCGGCAACAGCAGCACCATGGCCACTACTCCCACAACCCGCAGCAGCAGCAGCAGCAGCGGGAGCAGCAGCAGCAGCAGCAGCAGCGGGAGCAGCAGCAGCAGCAGCACCAGCGGGAGCAGCAGCAGCAGCAGCAGGACCTGGGGCTTTTGCCGGTGAAGACGACGGGTTTATTTGTTTGTTTGGGCAGCATTGCAGGTCTTCTGAAAAGTCGAACTCCTTTTGGAAGAAAAACTTCAAAAACTTTTATTCCTGATCCCCTAATGCTGATCCAACCCAGTCCGGAAATGCTGAGATCGTCTTGAGCTGTACGTACACCTCCGTACACCTGCACTCTGCAGCGAGCAGCAAAACCGGGAAGTCGAAAATTCGGAGTTAAAATTCGAATTAAATCCGCTAAAATCTGAGAAAATACTAAAAGGTACAATTTTTATGAAACTAAAACGAAAAAACGAATATAAAACGCAAAAATGCAGCTAAAACTTCCGCGGCGCTTGAGGTGTACAGACACCCCAGCGGCGGGCGCGCGAGGTGTACAGACACCCCACGCGCACGAGCCGCGAGGCCAAGAAGGAACAAAAGGAGTAATTAAAAAAGAAAAGTTCTCTATTGAGACAAAAGAAAATATTAAAAGATTAAATAATAAAAGGAGAGAAGCGCGGGGAGAGAAAAACCCAAAGGAAACAAGGAGAAAACTGCAGCAGGTGCGGCAGCTGCAGCAACTGCAGCAACTGCAGCAACTGCAGCAGCAAAAGCCCACCAGCTGAAAGGGCGCGCCAGCAGCGGGCCAGCAGCTGCAGTAGCAGGCAGCGGCAGCACTAGCAGCAGCAGCAGCAGCAGCAACGCGTAACAGGGGGAACGAAAGCACCGGAGCAGTTGCTGCTACTGCAGCTGCAACAGCAGCAGCAACAACGACGGACTCTGGTGCAGCAGCAGGAGGAACCAATGCATGTGAGGAGCCGCCCAGCACCAGCAGCAGCAGCAGCTGCAGCAGCAGCAGCAGCAAACCAACCTGTGTTTGACAAAGGGCTTAAGTTTGTTGAAGTCTTCAGGGTGGTGGGGGGGGTAAAGAAAGACTCCAGCTTTTCTATCAAGAAGGTCTTCTGCTTTATTTGTTCTGTTTACACCAATAAATAAATAAAGTAATTAATTAATTAATTAATTAGTTTATTATTTATTTATTTATTTATTCATTAATCCCAAACCCCCACCCGAAACCCTAAACCCTAGC